GCCCGTAATCTAACTTCACTATTCACATTTTTATTTTTTTATTATTGCTACAATGAAGTAGATATATCTACATAGAGATGTAAAATCAGGTAATCGTTCAAGATTCAAGTCAGACTATGTCAGGTCAGGTTAAATTAGATATGGGCTATGTCAGGGCAATTTAATAGTTTGACTCATATCATGTCACATCCGAGTTAAATCAAGTTTGAGTCATTTCCAGCTTGATTTGAAATCAGATTTACTTTAGGTTCGGGTCGAGTTAATTTTAGTTCAGATCAATATCAGTTCATGTCAAAACAGTCTGGGTGTAAATTAGTTCAATATCATGTTAATTCAGTTCATATCTCGTTCAGATTGAGTCACGTCATTGGAAGATAAAATTCAGGTCGAATCTTATAGGTACGAATAGACTTCATGTCGGACCATTTTCTGGTGAATTATTTTTCGACTTTCATAAACGTCAAATTTTAATTTGAAATTGTATAGACTTTTTAGTAAAATTAAATAAAATATAAATACTTATGACCAATTTCATATAAAAATATAATTTTCAGGTGAATTATTTTTCGACTTTCATAAACGTCGAATTGTAATTTGAAATTACAAAATAAAATTTAAATAAATTAAACAACATGCTAGGATCAAACTGAAACAATTATAAAATCTAAAGCTAACATTAATATCAAATTGGACTAAATTGAATTCATTTAAAAAGTTGGTGATTATGTACTAATTTATAGGATTTGAAATTAAGTTTATGATGTGATTTATAGGTTTGGAGTACAATAAAAAATAGAAATAATTATGGTATGATTTAAAAAAAAGTAATTTTAAGGACTAAATTGAACAAACATGAAATTATAAAGTGAAATATAAATAAATTAAACATGTAGGGATAAAATTAAAATAATTGTAAAATATAAAGCTGAAATTAATATTAAATTAGACTAAATTGCATTTATTTTAAAAGTTGGTGAATAAAAATTTATAGGGTTTGGAGATTATGATATAATTTATATGGTTTGAAATGAAATTTATGATGTGATTTATAAGGTTTGAAATAAATTAAAAAAATAAAAATAGTTATAGGCTAATTTTGGATAAAATATACTTTTAATTTATAATTTGTAATTTATCAAACTAGAAGGCGGTCTCACTTTTATTGGAATCGAAATCAAACGGGTTAACACTAAACACCGTCGGCGTTTCATCAAACGACTGGCGTTCGCTGCATATTTATTTATTATAATAAATATATCAATAATTTAGAAAATTCCAATTTTTTCGCGTTTGTTTTCCTAGTAAACCAAGGCCTTCACGAGGGACGTGGCGGCCGATGATCAGAGATTTGCAGAAGAATCCATGGCGGGTTTCGCTGATCTAAGGAAATCTTCGTTTCCGGTCATAATCATTCATTTCCTCCGCCGTGCATTCCCGATCAAATCCAAATTCCCTATCTAATCTATTAATTATCTCTGAATATAACAAATAAGCACATTTAGGGAACCATTAGATTCGTAGAAATCAACATGGGATCCGAACTCAATAGCATAAATACAAAACCGGCCAATGCCGGAGAATCAGACCCCAACGATGACAGCCCCCTCCTTGAATCCGCCGCCGAAGATATCCAGGAGCTCGAGAAGAAATTCGCTGCCTTCGTGCGCAATGACGTGTACGGTTCCATGGGGCGTGGAAAGCTGCCATTGAAAGAGAAACTCCTGATAGGCATCGCCCTCGTCGCGCTTCTCCCTATACGTCTCGTTTTGGTAATGGCTATTCTGGTCGTATATTACTTGATCTGTAGAATTTTTACGCTATTCTCGGTCCCGAATCTGGAGGAAGAGCAGGAAGATTTTGCACACTTGGGTGGGTGCAGGCGAGCCGTGATCGTCCAGTCGGGTCGATTTCTATCTAGGTTGCTGCTTTTTACAGTAGGATTTTATTGGATTAATGAAATTCATAAGGACCTCGCAAATACCCAAGAGAATTCAAAAACCGAGGTAAGATTATACTTATCTAGCAGTCTTAGTAGTCCAATTTGGCAAGTTTAAAGATAATTTATATGCATTTAATTATGCAAACTTAGAGACTTCAGTTAAACATAGAAGTAATTGCTTTATATTTTCCTGAATTTTCTATTTCTCAGTGTTTGATTTTTCTACAGAATACCAAACAATCAGAAGAGCAAGAAAGGCCTGGAGCAATCGTATCAAATCACTTATCATATTTAGATATCTTATATCACATGTCCTCTTCATTTCCAAGTTTTGTTGCCAAGGTCTGTTAACTTTAGCCACTCTTCTCGTTTTGGTTGTTCATTATGGTATAAGAGGTAAGTTTTTGCTGGTTTAACTGACATATCTCTTGTTTGGTTTTCTGAATTGAAATGCTTGGATTTTATTGCTGAAGATTTCAGTGAGTAAACTTCCCTTAATTGGTCTTATCGGGTGAGAGTTAATTTTATCCTCTAAATTTCTCCCGCTGTTTGTGGTTTGGTTGTCGTTGTTGGTTTTTTGTTTCTTATTAAATTGATAAGTTGTTCTCCTTTTTCCTTTTAAATCTTTGTATAGTAACTATAGTTATGGCCTTATGGAAATAGTTTTGTCCTTTATTTCACTCTTTGTAGCAATGAACCATTTATATTAGAATAAAAATATTCAGTTTTGGTAAATGTTTTGAGTTCATCCATTTGTTTCTGACAGTTATTTGTTTCTTTTGTGTCGTATGTTTCCTACCATTTCTATATTTTCTGTATTGTATGTTGCATTCCTAGTATAAATAGACTGGTTTGAGCTGGAGCGATGAATGATATTTGGCTTGTTTCATACAGAAAATGTCTTGGTTGTGTCTATGTTCAGCGAGAGTCAAAATCGTCAGACTTCAAAGGTGTTGCAGGTAGAAGAACTTACAACATCAAACTTGTTCTTTGCCGTTTTAATTGATCAAAAGTACAGTGCCTAATTGGTTTCTCTTTCAGGCATTGTGACCGACAGAGTTCGTAATGCACATCAAAATGAATTGGCTCCAATGATGATGCTCTTTCCAGGTTTATCATCTTATATATTCACTATACATTTTTCACATGGTTTAATTTATGGTGCACACACTACTTTATGAGTGTATATTTATGTGTGTATCTGGTGTTTCATAGCATTCTAAGCATCTATTTTCCTATGCCCATCCGCAACTAGTAAAATTTGATTTATATTCTTCTTGACAACAGAGGGAACAACAAGTAATGGGGATTTCCTCCTCCCATTCAAGACTGGTGCCTTTTTAGCTGGAGCACCTGTAGTGCCTGTTATATTAAGGTACCCATACCAAAGATTTAGTCCAGCCTGGGATTCGATATCTGGGGTGAGTATATATTAAGCAAAATCAAAATGGCTTTGTGATTTCTGATAATAAATTGCATTTCTTCCTTAATTAAGTAGCTGATTAATACCTGTAAGGCTGTAACTGATCACCGGGCATAATAACGCATATGAGAAATTTTGGTTTGTTTTTGTTAGTTATTCGGTGGTCTTAATACAAATCATTTGTGCACTATAGTTACACAGATGCTGATTTTGTTGGTAACACTAATATTCCGGTTACATTGCCCTTTGTAGGTGCGTCATGTGGTTTTTCTTCTGTGTCAATTTGTTAATCACTTGGAGGTAACATGGTTACCTGTTTACCACCCATCGCAGCAAGAGAAGGATAATCCACAACTATATGCTAATAATGTCCGAAAACTGATGGCCGCTGAGGTATGTATATACCATCAACTTTGTTTTGAGATTTTGTCATGTTATTTGCAGGAACTCTTAGATGTGTCTCTTACATTGCTTTCCACGGTTAGTATAAAAGCTAAACCAGGGCCTTTTAAGAAAATATTCTATGTTAACCAGTTCAGATAAATCATAAAATGCAACTCCATTAACGGTTATCAGCGGCTTATATACGACACTATTACTTTAACTGTCTTCATTTTTATGTTGCTTGAACTTGGTATGGTATGAAGTGTTGAAGCAGTATGGCTTTTCTTTTCTTGCCTGCAGGGTGGTTTGATACTTTCGGATATCGGGTTGGCTGAGAAGCGAATATACATTGCTGCTCTCGATGGTAATAATAGTCTGTCTAGTGTTTTGCATCAGAAAAACGATTGATAAATTCAACCTTGCTTCCATATATTTATCTATTCTCAGTTGAGTTTTTACTAGTTTGCACTGACACCACCATTGCAATTATATTGTGAACTTCATTCATCTGCTATAAGCCACGCCTAGGGCCCTTTTGTTGGTTTCAAACCATTTCGAATATATATATTTATATGAGCCCGGGTTTTGTAATCGATGTAAGCATTAACAGTAAGTTGACTACTGTGAATTTGAAATGCCTTTTTTTTTTTTGGTTCCTGCAGGTTTATTTGGTTAAAGCTAGTTTGGATTCTCCATCTGTACAGTCATTGTTTGATTCTATTGTTTATGTTAAAAAAGAGAGTTTATTATTGGTTGTAAATGTAGTTGGGCAGTTACTCCTGAAATGCTAATTGTTTTCTTTTATTTTTTGGATGATATTAATGTAATTCTTACAGTTGCAAAAATTATCTTTATTTTTTCCCTCACTGAAATTTATTTCTCTTGTTACTGTACTCTATTTAATATTTATTTAGTATTGAACTTTCTTCAGTGCAATAAATCGTTTTTTGCTTTATTTACTTAGTATATTTTTAACTAAATACTTTAAATTTTAAATGAGAAAATGATAATTCAAATAAAACCAACAGAAGATTAAGAAAAAAGCTTTACATTTGTGTATCATTTTTACAAGTGTAATTTAGTGTCGTTCTTCTAAAAAATAGGTTTCTATGTCTAATAATAATAACCACCTCTTAAATTTCAGTAATCAACATCTCTAAGAAAAGAAAAGGAAAAAAAAATTGTATAATTATTGGCAACAATAAAATTATGGAAACTGGTTAAAAAAAAAATATTATTAATTTAGACACCTACATTCATTAGTCTGTCCCAGAGGAATAAATAAATCAGCATCTCAAAATAACAATTTTTAAGCACATTAGTGTTGAGCTACAAACATGACAACATACTAAAGAAACAACACCACCAAAACAAATCTTCAACCATCAAAAGCCTTCATGGAGCTTGCTAGGGATGAACTCAATGTCAAAGAAAAAACTCCAACCGGTATTTTTTCCCCTTCTTACCTGAACCTTTCCACAAAAAACATTGTTCCATCTATTGTTTCGATTCCGATGATGGTAGTAGGCATTTTCTTGAGGACGATTGAAGTTGCAAAGATTTCCGCTGCCTCGACACAAAAGCCAGGCAACTAAAGGCAGATCTCAGTCTCTTGTTCTCAATATCTTGCGGTTCATAATTCGGATCGTGTTTTACAATTGAAGTTCTAAGGCCTTCAGGAAGAATGCAGTTGAACATTGAACCTGGAACAGAGACGAGTTTGAGATGGGTAACAAATACAACATTGAGAGAAAGAAGGCGACATATCAGAAAAATGACTTACGATCTTGCATTATGGGGATGCAATAGCGTACCTATTCTTGCCAGTCGATTTACCCATTTAGGAATGTGTTTCCCTGTCAGCTGCTTACAAATATCAGCACAGAAATGGTTGCAGTTCTTGACAATCAAGTGATATGTATCTCCATTGTACCTTTCCGAGTAGTGCTCCATGAAATTCCTTACCTGTGCAGGGTCCAGTGATGTGGTTCCTATGAATATCGACTTCTTAAACTTGAACCCCGGGCACTGTCGTGGCTCAACCTCGAAAACACCACTGGTTGAGTAGTCATGAGCTCCAAATGCATACTCCACGCCATGAACTATACAGATTATGGGTCGGGTTATCAGAAAACCAAGTACATGAATGTCAAGTCTGTATGTTGCATATTTAATTTAAGTGCAATGCTTCATCTTATGACATAACTTAAGTGCAGTGCATTCATAAAATACTATAATGCCCGCAATTTACTATTGCTTCTTCCATTACATTTCCAACTCAACTAATTAGCTGAGAAATAGTTTCTAGTAAAAATGTTATCAACCAACCTTCGACACCAGAATGAAAGATACCAAGGCCTGCCCAGTAAAAATAACCATTCATGGGCGTTAGATCGTACACGTTGAGATACACAGGTGTACAGCTCGGACTAGAAGTAGCCGGCTTAACCTTTGGGAAAAAGCATCGAGAAGCTGATTTGTTTTTGAAAAGACGTGACACCGCAGATCTCCATCTCTTCTTTTTTTCAAATTCCATCACTCTTATACGATAATAAGAGACTTCAATTAATGCTTACACAACCTGGAGTAAAATTAGCAAACATTAGTAATCTGTCTAAAAGGACGTAAGCTACTTCATAATCATCATATAGGAAAAACAACACAAAGACGGATACCGGAAAAGAAACCCTCTGATAGAATTGACCGCTCTTGTATTCAAAGACTGCACATCGCCTTTGAAAGTATTTTTACCAAAGCCAAAACACCGTGTTGTGTGGAGATACCATAACAATAATGGGGACACAGTGCATACACTGCCATGAACTAACAAAACCGATATCCCTTAGTTTAATATGTTGACATTTCAAATTCCTCATTCAACAACGAATACCAAATATCAGAGACCGTCCCGAGGCAAAAGGTTAAGTGCAATGGTTAATGGTTACCCTTCAGTTAGAGCAATTAACATTTATAAGGCTATTTATTCTTCGCATTGGTTTGCTTCGTAGGAAAGATGACAGAATTGAACAACGGTCATTTTCATTCTATTTATTGCTTGGTAAAATTGAAAAATGAGAGGGAAGAAAATGAATCTTTTGAACTAACATCGCTTTCATTTTTTCTCCTCTTGATTTGCTTTTCTGCATTAGGATGGAAAATGGTTCTCTATCTTATTTTCTTTCCTCCCACTTCTAATACGCATCAAATTTTCTTTCCAACTTTCTATTCAACCTAACACACCCTAAGACCAGCAGTGGAACCAGTCAAGTACATGGAGAAACAAACTGGTTTTTCATATTGTAAAAAAAATCACATATAAATGCTTGATTTTTTTTGGCATTCTCTTGCACACATTAAAAACTATTGTTAACAGAAAATAAAAAACCAAATTTCATGTGAATGATAACATAACTAGTTAATTAACCCTGCATTGATGCGAAACTTTCCCAGAAATATCAACGAATTAACACCTATGGCCATGAAAAGGAAAAATAAACCCAATACGTGTCCGAAATAAGGGGAAACAGAAACCTTTAGGGTCAAACCACCATATTTCCAAATACATTTCCAGATGGAAATATAATTAATTTATTTGTATAGATGAAAAATAGGGAGAAATCGTTCTTGGTACTCCGCGAAAAGGAAAATAAAAAAATTTGACAAGAAGAAAAGAATCACTTCAGATCCACAAGAAAATACAAACAGAACAACAACAATGCTATAGATCAGAGAATCAAACAGATTAAAACTCATAATTTCATCAAATGATCATAGCCAAAAGCATTTTTCGTAAAAAATAATAAAAAGGGAGAGAGCGTACAGGTCGAGAGAAGGCCATTCGGCGTTGAACGAAAAGCAAGCCGCCACTACAGAATCGAAGGTGAGTTACCTTTAAAGGAAACGCTTCGAGATTCTGTATGGCGGCGAACGGAGAGAAAACAATACGAAGAATAAGATGATAATGATGATGAAGAGACGTTTACTGTTAAAGAGAGATGAAGGATAAAAGCTTAAGCTCCCCGCCGCCTGAAAACTAGAAAAAGCTCAAAGCTTTAAAGGAAGATGAGGAAAGAGAAAAGGCAAAGCTTTCCCCCCTCTCTCTCCCAATCTCCCCCCTTTCTTCATTGTTCCTCCCTCACCCCCTTCTTATTTTTCCATTTTTTGACTCCGCTCCTCAATCGCTTCCACTCTTTCTTTCCCAATTTACTGTTTTTTCCCACATTTTTTAATTATTTTTTCCATTAAATTTGTGGGTCGTATCATTCAAATATCTAATTTTAAATTTAATATCAGTTGGAATTTTCTTTGGTTAAATGAAAACAAACAAACTGTATCACATGATTCCCATCACACGTTCGCTTATTCATTTTTATTTATTTTATCTCCTCATATTAAATAGTAATTTATTTGTTATTATAATATTTTATTCGCAAACTTCAAAAAAAAAATTGCATTCGTTTGGTTTATAATTTTAATTAAATGATAATTTATTTATTTTTTCAAACATAATAACACCACTGATAAATTTATGATAGTTATATAAAATACAATATGATTTTTTTAATTGTTATTGTTTCTTGATGTTCTAGTTTCTCGAGTATCAGAAATGTCATGAGTGTAAATATTTAATGTCAAATAATTAAGAGTTATCTTTAAGTATATATTTTCTTGTATTTATCATAAATTAATACAATATAAATTTTAAATCTCTCATAAGTCAACATTTTCTTAAATACGACATTTATAAATTATATAAAAAAATTAATTGATGAAGTGAACATATGACCATTTCCTTTAAATATATCATTTGAAAAGAAAAAAAATAGATAAAACGATTTTTAGTGAATCGAGTATAAATTATAATCAAAATGCAAGTCAACATGAAACTAATTTAAAATTATAACTATGGCGTTCTCTCTGTCTCTCTAAGATAGGGTGTCACGGCTATTGAAGTTCTCTGTTTAACGTCGATGCGATCTCTATTGTCTGGTCTCTCCCCTCACCCCCCGGTTTCTCTTTCCACTCAAATTCTGTTTTGACACCATCATCTGATACTAGTTCAAATGCAGTTGCTAGTGACGAATTTATTTTACGTTGTTTGTTTGCTGGCGGGTGTTGGACGGAATGGTCTTTGGCCATTTTCCGACGGTGTCCTATATGGATGTTTGGGTCTTACCCCTGTTCGGTTAATTTACAGTTTCTCTCGGTTCGTCCACCCTGTCCTTGCTGGTTTCTCGATCGTGGGCCAAGTAAATACTATGTGGTAACAAAATAAATATATACATGTAACATCCCAAAATACGGGTTAGTGACTAAATTGTAAAACTTCAGAGTTTGGTGATTTAAGTAGGATATTTGTATAGTCCAATGATTTGTTCGGAAATATTTCCTGAAAGTTATTAGTAATTATTAAAGAAATTAAATGGCAAAATAATCATTTAACCATTAAATGAATTAAAATGTGATATGTTGGGGATATATACGGGGGAAATGGATAAGAAGAAATATATAGAGATTCTTCTTCTTCTCCTCTTTGTTCTTCCATACGAGAGAGCCATATCATAAGGTGAGTTTTCTGATTTGTTAAATTAAATGTTAGGTTTTGATCATTAGATGATAACTAAGCTTAAGGAAAGCTTAAGTTGTCTTATGATCAAAAGATAAAGAAGTTATAAAAGATTAAAGGAAACGAGATTTTATTTGAAATTATGGAAAATAGTTGATAAGTTGAATTTGAAGTTAAATTTGATTTGTCATCATGTTAATTAAGGAATATGAAGTGTTAGAATTGTATTTAGAACATATTGAAATTTGAGTATGATTCTTGAATTACATATGAAGGATGGGATTTTGAAGTTATAGATGATTTTCATGGATATAAGTTGGTTTAAGTAATGGTAGTTGAGTTTAATGACATGGTAGGGGTTTAAAATACAAGAATTGAATGAAGAATTGATGATTTTCGGGCTTAAAATACAATTTCTCGGTAGAGGGAACCGATACCCTATGAATGGGAATCGATTCCCCCTCTTGAACGAAAAATTCCAGTATGTTCAGGGGGTATCGATTCCCCCTAAATGAAAAATGGAATTTGGTTCTTTAATTTGGTTTAATTTGTTAACATCAAGTTTAAGGTTTAGGCTTCTGATAGTTGTTTTGAAATGTTATATTTATGTAGATATTGAGTCTAAACAAGTTCCGGAATAATCAAAGGATTAGGATCGAATCAAAGCAAATAAGGCTAAGGTGAGTGCAGTTTTAATTGTACTTATATTATTGAACGAACATTGGCTTGCGATGAGCTAGTGATGGAGTTACTATGGTAAGAAGTGACTCCTAAAATGTTATTTGATTTGTGATTCTTATATGTTCATGAATACATGAAATGGGTATAGGTTATTATATATGTTACATGATATGCATAGACATAAGAGCATAAAACATAAGATATATGATATGATATACATGATTATATGCATATGTGATATATGCTATGAGACATGACCAATGTGAAATGAGATAAGCTATGTGATATGATATGAAATACATGGTTACACATACATGTGGTATGTGACAGAAAGGAAAGAACAAGTGATGAGAAATGTATTCATCGTATATGCCCATAGTATATGATACGAGTGATATATGTATAGTTGGCATGCCAAGAGTCGAGGGTATTGTAGACGTAGTGGTCCTACGAGACATATATAGCAATCCTTCGGGACGAATATTGAACAAATGTTCGGTGCCCATGAGGGAATTTATACGAGCTGTGGTGACAGCATTAGTGCACAACCTCAATGTACTCACATACCTTTGTTCTCAACAACAATATATATGGGCAATTGAAATATAAATTAAAGTGAAAGTGATGCAAAAAGGTAAGTTTCATGTGTGCATAACTTGGTTATATATGTCATATGAAATATATACATGCATATTGAAATATCATGATCAAATGGTAAGAATGCATATTCATGAATCTACTGTTACATGTTTATTTATTGCCTCACTAAGTCTATGACTTAGCATGTAAGTGATTTACACGTAGGTACCAAGAAACGAGAAGAGCAAGAATAGAAGTAGCAAGGACAGTATTATTACTAGAAGATCAGATCAGAAGTAATCGACAAAGTAGGTATTTTGTTGTGTATAGAGTGTTGGCATGTAATAAGTCGTTAATTATGAGCACTCTGATCGAGTTTGTATTTTGTGGTCTCTTTTATGTAAATTAACGTATTTTGTTTTAAACAAAGTTTTAAATTCCCGGGGTTTTTCTTTAAGAGTCAAAGTTTGAAAAGTCAAAGTGACACCTCGGACTCGAATTCGAGTCGGGTACGGGTTGGGGTGTTACAGTAATGGCATCAGAGCTAAGGTTTAGTCGATTCTCGGCATAAACCGGAGTCTAGAGTGTTTTATAAGGTATACATGCCAATAAAATAGTGAAAACTTCTGATCTGATGGAATAGTAAGTATAATATTATGCTAATAGAACTATATGATTGTATTTTTATAGATGTCCAGACAAGGTAGTTCTAGAAATGAAGTGGGAGATGATATACCCGCTGAAAGCAGTAATTCACCTGCCCTGGCCAGGCAGAGTGAAGAACAGACACCCTCTGGAGTGCTTGTGAATGATCAAGATGTATTCTTTAGAACTTTAGACGCGGTATTGACGCGTTTTCAACCTCATGTTACTTCAACTCCAAAAATAAATGTTGCAAAAGAGTTGAAGGGTTTAGGAGCTCCAGAGTTTAAAGGGGAAGCTGATGAAGGTTCTGTTACTGCGGACCTTTAGCTTAATGATGTGAAAATCATGCTTGAGGGACTTCATTGTTCCGATGCTGACAAGCTGGATGGAGTCGTCTCCTTGCTTCGAGGGCAAGCAAGAATTTGGTGGACCAACGTTACATTGAGAATATCTGATGATCAAGTAACTTGGTCCTTGTTTTTAGGAGAGTTCAAGCATAAGTACATCGGAGATCAACTTGTTCGACAAATGAAGAAAGAGTTCATGAATCTGAAGCAATGGAATCACAATGTATATTAGTACGAGTGTGAATTCAATAAGTTGAGCCGCTTTGCTGCCGAGCTTGTTCCTACTGAGAAGGATACTTGTGAATGGTTCGTAGAGGGGTTACGTCCTCGGTTGAAGGAAATGTTGATTGTATTGAATCTATCCTCGTTTCAAGAGGTAGTCAATCGTGCCAAAGCTTTGGAAAGAGCTCAAAACGAGAGATTTGAAAATTCAAGGACTCAAACAGTCAAGAGAACGAGTGCTTCTTCGAGTTCCGCACCGTCAAAAAGAGGCAAAGATGTTGGTTCTCGACCTCAAGCTAGATCGGAGTCTGTGGTATCCTCAGCTAGAGGATCAAATCCGATAAGAGGCAGACAAACTCAATCAGTGAGATCTGGAGCTGGAAGATTTAACCAGAGTCAAGACAGACAATGCCCACATTGTGGAAAGAATCATTCTGGGATATGTAGAAGGATTTTTGGAGCTTGCTTTAGATGTGGGGACACCAGACATTTTGTTCGGGATTGTCTTAGGGTAGTCGATGAATCTGCACAACCAGAGAGGTCTATTTCTACAGGCCAAAGGGGAAGAGGTAAAGGCAGAGGAAGAAGTCACTCAGAGTCCTCTGCTCAACAAGAGATACGTTCCACTGCTCGAGTGTATAATCTCAGGACTAATGAAGATCGGGATGATCCGGAGATTATAACAGGTACCTTTCTGCTATTTGATAAACATGTTATGGTATTGATTGATACGGGGTCTACATATTCATACATTACTAGTAAGTTAGTGAGAGAATTGAACATTTAATTAGAAGCTACTAACAATGAGGTGATAGTGACGAATCTGTTAGGGCACAGTGCTCGGGTGAATATGGTGAGTCGAGGGTGTCCCATACGAATTCAGGGAATTGAATTCCCTGCTAATTTGATGGAATTATCTTTTGAAGAATTTGAAGTGATACTGGGAATGGATTGGTTATATCGTTATTATGCTAATGTCGACTGTAGACTGAAAAGAGTAACGTTGAGAAGTCCGGAAGAGGTAGAAATCGTGGTGTTTAGTGAAGGGTGGAATCCATTGGCA